TTGGAAGTTCCATCAGATGAGATTTTGTATGAGATTATTAGTGGGACCGCGGAAGGTCAGGGTTAAATATCAAGTGAATAGATATGACCCTTGAGGAAAGTGAAAAATAAAAGTGCTTGAATGTATTAGTATCACCTAATAATAAAACATAGATTGAATCATGAATACAAGTTTTCATCTTATGATAAGATGATGAGGAAAAGAGGAAGTAATGAACGGGATAACTTTGGGAACACAAGAAGGGTTCTCCGATAAAATCTCTAGTTGACTGGATGAGTAGTTTTGTCGATTTTGAGGACAAAATCGCTAAAAAGGTGGGGTGAATATAATACTCTTAACTTAAATAATTTAATTAATTACTTTAAATTAAGTAATTAAGCATGTATTAGTGAGTAAAACTAAGTATAGGGCCTAATTAAGTGAGTTGGGGTCACTTTTGAGGTAAAAAATGTACTCAGTGGATTACAAAAAAAAAGTGTACTCAGTGAAAATTAAGGGGTATAAATGGGTGTAGGAAAAAGTACCCAAAATATAAAAATAAAAGTGGAAATATTCCTAGAATAATATTCCAGACCTTTGGGTAAAGTTTGGTGGTAATTGGAGTTGAAGAGATAGATGAGCTTATACCCGCTTAAAGCCACTTAACATAAGTTAAGTGACTCAAAGCATAAAAAACCCATCCCCCCCCCCTTGTCTGTCGAGCACCAGGGAAAGAAAGAAAGAAAGAAGAGAAGGAGAAGAAGAGAAGGAGAAGAGGGAAAGGGAGGTCCAAAACCCTAGATCCCTCAATTCTCAACCTTTTTGAGTGATTCAAAAGCCTAAACCACTCCAAATCTTCCCCTCTTTCATAATCCAAGTTTGGTTTTGAGTGGGAAGCATTGTGGTGTGAGATTTTTCCTCTCAAAATTCGCCCCATTTGAAGGTTGAAGGGGTTTGGGAGCATTTGACTTCTTGGAAGCTTGAGGAACCATCACTCCTTGATTATGCAACCATTGGTGGTAAGATTTTACTCCTTGAACTCTATTTTCATGGAGATTGTATGTTGAGGAAGATGATGAATAATGTTTTTAGGGTTTTATGATAATGTGAGTAAATTGGCTATGTTCTAGGAGGATTGAGGCTTAGTGTATGTTGTGAAAAATGCTAGGAATCACATTTAATCGGTGAAAATGAGTTTAGATAGTCATATGATTATGTTTTGAAAATTGCAAGTTATATACTTGATTGTTGACTTGATTGTGATCCTTGTATTGATAGGATTGAGGCAAGAGAACCAAGTGGGGTGACCAATCCTTTTGGTTGTGTTCAAATTGAGGAAAGTTCGAGAACAAGGTAAACCTTTGGACCTTGGGGTTGATCCCCTTGAATGTTCCACCATACTCCATTCAGGAGGAATGGTTTATGAGGTGTGATATATAATGATGATAGTTGTTGCATGCTCATGCATTGAAAATTAGTATGATTGCTTAATGATGATTGATTGAAGTTTGATTGTTTAAGAGTAAATGAGGAATGGTTGATAGAATTAGGATGAGGATTATTGTTAGGAACTTCCCTTGGAAACAGCCCTATTTGGATCTCCATGTGGTTAGAGTCTAAGAGAAACAACCTTATGTGGATCTCTCTTGGAGGTTCCTAGATTGAGGTAAGGACTTCCCTTGGAAACAACCCTATGAGGATCTCCAGGTGGTAAGAGCCTAAGAGAAACAACCCTTCGTGGATCTCTCTTGGAAGTCCATGTAATGTTTATGGATAAGAATGTGTTAAACTGTTATGATTATATGTACATCGGAAGTGAACCTTAGGGTGGAGTGATCTCCAAAGACCCCTGGTTTACTGTGATATATTCGTATATCTCACCCCGTGTTGTGGGGCCTCATTTCAAGTACTGATAGAGGTGAGGACGATCGAGACAAGAAGCATGAGTAAATTGTACCTGATATATGACATTTTAAGATTTCTTACATGTAGTAGTTCATATGTATCGGATTGTTAATTAAAAGCCAATTGTCATATGCATGTTATGTTTTAATTGGATGGACTTAGCCTATACTCATCTCTTGTGGTATCTCTTTTGTTGTTGGGAGCCAATGATTTGATCATAGTGTTTTGTAGCTAAGCCCCATGATTCTGTAATTTAAGACATGTAGAGATGATGTAATGTTGGAATTATTGTATATAAATATATGATGAAAGGGTATGGATGTTTCTTTTAATGTATGTGTACCTTTAAAGAACAAAGAATCATGTTTGGAGGTGATTATATGATGTCAATTAGGTGAAAGAAGACCCTTAGGTTGAAAATCCAAGTAAAAGTAAAGATATCCTGTCTTGTTGTCCAATTTTCATATCCTATATGATAGATTTGGACCCTTGTGTCTTAATGGAAGTTGTAGATCTTTTTCTTAGCTTTCCATAGAGACCAAGATTGTGTAATTTGGATGAGTATAACTCAAGTTATGGGTAGAATACCATAGGTAGGTCAGATTGCCCTGTTTTGGGTGCTTGCTCTAGAACTACGGCGCTATGAGCGTGAGATTCACGCTATGAGTGTCAACCTCTCTGACTGCTCACGCTATGAGCGTGGGGGTCCTGGAAATTTCAGCACCTATTTTCTTAGAAAATGCGTAACTTGGGCTACGGTGCTCCGATTTGAGCGCGGTTTGAACCCACGCGTAGCTAATGAAAAATCCTATAATATATTGGACAAATGGAGACCATAAGAGTACTCTAGTAATTTCTTAAATGAATAAAGAGTGTATATGTTTAGCGTTTAAGAACAATAAAAGTGAGTTTTAAGCCTTGGTGGTCTAAGGGGACTACTTGGCACACTATGGTAGTAATGTATGGCGTAAATAAGACTTACAATAAGAATTCCACATGTAGTTTAAGTTATAATCACGTTGTGGAAATTGTTTTAAGCACGGAGTTGATTTTAATTAAAAGCGTTTATAAATAATAAGGAAAAAGTTTATCCGTATTTAATTCAATTTTGTGATTGTAACTGCGCTTAATGCCGTACGTAATGATAACAAACCGGTTCTAGAACGGGGTGTTAGACTTTAAACAATTGAAAGTTATTGGAGCTCTAGGTCCTACATTGCGGGAAAATTTCAGATAGTATATGAAAAAAATAGAGAACTTTTTGAAAAGAACTAAATTATTCATCCTTGATACTTTATTAGGATACTTCATGCGTATTTGTGATATGGAAGTTTCTATTAAAATTCTTCCTGAATAAGAGCAGTGATTCTGTATGGTATTGAATGTTTGGTAGTGAAGTTTCAACAATGTTGAAAAATAAGTGGCAAGTGTGATAGAGATGGGAATGATGGACATACAAAAAAGAAATAAGGACAGTGATTCTATATGGTTTTGAAAGTTGGGTTGTGAAGTTTCAACAATGTTAAAAAATAAGTGTCAAGTGTAATAGAGATGCGAATGATGGAGTGGACCTACAAGATCAAGGAACATACAAAAATGAGATAAGATTAAGGAACAATCGTAATAAGGAGAAAGTTGGAGTTGCACCTGTTGAAGGAAAAAAAGGACAAAAACTTGCCTGAGCTGGTTTGCTGATCAATTTGATGCTATTGGTGCTATAGGGTATTTTGTGGTGCTACTGTGTAATTTGGAAACGTATGAATGTGTGTGTTGATGTCAAACACCTACCAGCTACCCTGTACAGTGTGCACCTCAGAAGCACGGACACGCTCTTTTCTTAAGAAATTACGCGTCGGACACGTGTCCGACACCGACACGCTCGGACACATTCCGACACGCGTTCGACACGTAGTCAATATTTTAGGACACGTTGACCATCTTGACACGCGATTTTGACCGAGTCCAACACGAAATCAACATCTTTGGACACGTTTCCAGACACATTTGTAGTTCAGATTAGAATAATTGCGAAAAAAAAAGTATAGAACAAAGTTCTGGAACAGAGTGATAGAGGGAGAAATCACAAAGTTACAGAAGTTGTCTCGTCGTCTTTGTCGTCTCTGGCACAGTCACAGGTCGCCGTCGCAGGTGAAGGGGTTTGTCGAAGAGGGAAAATCACGGTCAGCGCCTCCTCCTTCTCCGTCCCCGCCGCTGGACGCAGGTCGCCGCTGGTTGTAGGTGGCCGCTGGTCGCAGGTCGCCGCTGTTGCAGGTGGCCGCTGGGGAAGGGGAACAAGTTTGTCTAAGAGGGAAGATGTTTGTCAAAGGAGGAAGGTAGGGTTACATATATTTTAAAGGTTAAAAGACAAAAAGACCTTTTATTATTACTATTATAATTTTAAATAGAAAACAAATATGTAAAATTGACATCGATCCAAGAATTTAAAAAGGATGAGAGGAGTAAGGAACCTGATTGAATAATTGGAGAAGACAAACGGTTTAATAAAAATTAAAAAAGTGATATATTTTGAAAATTAGTCATTAAAGTAAAGACAATATATAATTTGAATGTAAATTATATTATATATATTAAAAATATTATTTAATATCAAAACGTGTCCCAACGTGTCGAAATATGTCATTTTTTATAATTAACGTGTCGGCGTGTCGTGTCCCGTGTCCCGTGTCAGTGTCCGTGCATCATAGGTGTACACTATTGGAATTTAAAATTTTTTATTTTCTGTGAATGTCAGTGGTGTTGCTAGCTTTCTCATTCTTGTATTATGCTGAGTTTTTTAACTTTTGTGCACCCTTCCTTTTTTTTCCTTTTTTTTACCATCATCCATATTTTATTTTTTTTCTAAATAAATGTTACTTCTACATTAAATAAGTAAATAAATGGAGAAAAGTAAACAGCCCAATTACCTGAAATAAATTCTGGGCTAGCCCATTATGAATGATCCAATACACAGTACAATCAACATAAACTCCATTATAATATATAGTTTTTAACTTCAGAGGACTAAACACAACCATGTTTCTTTATCATATTTTATAATTTTCTACCAAACTTCTCAAATAATGATCATCATTTACCTAGTAAGAAACAAAAATAATTCACTTTAAAGCATGGTATCCATCATTAAAGTATTTTTGAATTTTTGCTGCATGACGCTTGTGAAGGTTAACTTTCAATCCATGTTTCATGTAGAGAGTTAAAGCAAGCTTTGGCACAACAGGGTGATTCTCTACCACTTTCACATGGTAGCGGTATATGATGCTGGCTGCAGCATATTTCATCTGATAGTATGCAAAATCTTTGCCTAAACACAAACGAGGTCCTCCATTGAAAGCAGTGAATTTGTAAGCAGATTCACTAATGAAGTGACCATCTCTTAACCATCTTTCTGGCATGAATTCTCTACAGTTCTTGCCCCATATATTTTCCATTCTTCCCATTGCATAAATTGCATACATCACTTTCGTCCCCTTCTTTAGTAGAGTTCCATCTGGGAATGTGTCATCTTCCACTACCTGAAAAAAAAAAAAAAAAATTATTACTGAACCTGAACTTCTTGCATTCTGTCTCGAATACACCAAGCTGCATTAAATACTACCTTGAATTGTGTGATCTTCTTAAAACCAATTAGCCAAATGGGTGTTCAACACATCTGCCATATGAAAATTTTCAAATAGAGTTTTCTCCTACTTTACAAGATCAGATTTGAGTTTTCCCTCTTAAAAATATAGTTGTCTTTATCCAATAATTAATACATAAACAGTCACCTCAACTATGCCTACTTTTTTTTTTTTAATGAAAGGCCTGACAAGGATTATGTTTGGTAGCTTAACAAAAAGTTGACTAAATTTGTAAATCAGTCACAATCACAATTGGTTGCAGGGAAGAGAAACAACAAATTTGTAATTTCCAAGTAACAAACAAACATGCAGTATGAGAAGAATTCAATTAGCCAAAGGAAACAAAAGAAAAAAGAATATATCTTCAACTCTCTCTTTGTAATCATATAGAAATCAATTAGCAAATGGAAATATAGTAAATCAGATCAATAAGAAAGGAATCAAGATTAACTATGAAAAAAGTAAAAACTAAAATTGAAGAGTTACCTCCTTGTGATCAACAGGAACAGAAGGATATAACCTCAGAGCTTCTGAAAGAGCAGCATGCAAATAATCCATCTTCTTTATCTCCTCAGGCCTAAAGGTCAAAGAATTATCAAATAGTTCCTTGTTGATTTCCTCCCTCTGACTCACCACCCTGCAAATCTCTTCTAGTATTCTCTCCTCCACTACAGGATTTTGATCAAGCAACCAGAAAAACCAGCTCAAAGCAACTGAAGAAGTGTCCCTCCCTGCTAATATGAAATTCACACATATATCCCTCAAGAACTTATCTGAATATGGTTGTCCATTCTCATCCTTGAGTCTCATAAACACTGTTAACAAGTCTGATTTTGTGTTCTTGTCTTCACTTTGCAAAGAGAGCTCCTTCTTTCTAGTCCTAATAACATTCTCAGCAAATTCATCAACTTTTTCTATTGATTCCTTCAGCTTTCTCTCCATGCCCAAGTTGAGAAACCTCATGGCCTTCCACATAAACTCAGGTGTGACAAATCGATGCACAGTGGCTTCTGTTGCATCCTCAAAGGCTGTGGCAAATGGTATTTCAGGCAAATGAGGTTGTGAACAACCAGGATCAACACCAAAGGCTATCATGCATACATTATCAAAAGTGAGCCTTAACAAGATATCTTGAAGATCTATGGTAAGAGATTTCTTAACAGATTCCTCTAAGACAGGTATTAGCCTGTTATGGACAAGCTCAAAGAGTGACTCAGTTGTTAGTTTCCTGAACTTTGTGGAGTGAAATTCAATGCTTGCTGTTTTCCTTTGTCTTTGCCATGTCTCATCATCTGCACTGAATATACCATCTCCAAGTAGGTCACAAACTGTGTCCCTGAAGAACTTTCCTTTAGGGAAAACATGGAACTTTGTTTTGAGAAGATGCTCCATGTTGCGAGGATCAGAGGTGATGATGCCATTAAGGCTTGTGAACCAAGGCCCTTTGAATCTAAATGTCCCATTTTGATGGTTGAGTATATCTGTGATCCATTCATACATATTGTCAGTTTTGAGTGCTGTGACCAAAGAAGGTAACATTCCAAGGACAGGCCAAATAGGTAGGCCGTGATGCTTCTTTGACCTCAAAGAATGGATGGTTATGAAAACCATGGCTGCAATGATGATATCAGGGATTTGGATATGTTGCAAGAGGAAGAGGCCAAGGGAAAACAAGTTTCCGGTGGCAGCAGCCGTGCCGGAGTAGGAGGAGTAGCCAGAGGTGAGGTTGAGAGTGCTAGCTTTGGTGCTCATGGTGTTGTGGTGATAGGGAATGTGGAGATGCAAGAACATGGTCTATTTGAAGGGTGCTTGTGGTCAAGTATGTTAATATTGTGAGTGGATTCTCTGATATTAATTAATATAGCTATCTCACGTGGAAGAATCATAATTATACAAATGTACATTAATGGTGATAACAGAAAAGAGAGAGAAAATATATTGAAATATTTAGTTATAAAATCATCACCGTTGATTTATTTTTATATGATTAGGATTCTTCCACGTGACATAGTCGATCTACGGGTGTTGTGTTTTACCAAGCTGTTTGATTTGTCGATCTAAAAAACTTATATGGCAAGTGGCTACTTATGTTGTGACTAAATGATTGTAGCACCTTTTACTTGAACTATGGTTTTGTGGGTATATTTGTCGTTGGGGTGTCAAATAGGATTTCTAAAGTGTGAAAAAAACAAACCACTACATTTATTTTACCCACATCTTTACAATTAATGTCACATGAATGACACCATTATTTCTCTATACTCAACATTTACTCCCTTTCTAAAGCTGAAAAGAGTCCCACTCATATAACATATTTCTTGGTTTACATCGCATCAAGTTTCCTGTTTTAATTCATGTTCGCTTTTTAAAAAATAAAATAAAAATTAAGTCAATAATTTCAACATTAATAGCCTTAAGAAAAGTTGCTAGATATTTTATTTTGGGTCCAAATCATTTTACATCAAGTTGCACTTTTAATCTTGATCATTAATTTTATGGGAAAAAGGTGTGTCATTTTAAATGACACACCTTACATCCTTTCATTCTTACAAAGAAGTGAGACCCATATTTTTAAAACTTTTTCCCTCCACTCTCTCTTATATGATTTATCTCTTTCTCTCACTTAAAATGACACAACTTTGTGTCATTTAAAACTATACACATTTTTTCCTAATTTTATTTATATCAAATGACTCTGATTATTAGATCTGCGAACCATTAGATGCAAATAAATCAAAGACTAAGATTTGATGTAAGATTTATTATTGGTAGATAAAATTCTGGTATCAAAACCTTGATTTGATATCATTAGTAGTAGCCTTTTAAGTAGACTGATTTAATACAGGAGATATACCATCGTATCTAATAAATACAAAGGATAAGCTATATATGAGTCAGCAACTATTCAAATGAGTCATACTAGTAAATACAAAGGATAATCTATGAGTCAACAACTATTCAAATGAGTTATCCTAATAAATACAATGGATCGTATCTAATAAATTCAAAGGATAAGCTATGAGTCAACAACTATTCAAATGGTATGAGTCATGTGAGTCAATGATCATATCTTCTCCAACACTCCCCCTCAAGTTGGAGCATGTAAGGATGCAATGCAATGCCCAACTTGGGGAAAAATTTAAGAAATGCAACATGGCCTAAGACTTTTGTAAAATTATCAGCAAGCTGTGATTTGGATCGAACATAGGCAGTAGTAATATTGTTAGCTAGGATATGTTCTCGAACAAAGTGCCAATCCAATTCAATGTATTTAGTACGTTCATGGAAGACCAGATTTGCTGCAATATGCAGGGCCGCTTGATTGTCACAAAATAATTTCTTAGGTCCATCATGTGCCACCCCTAATAATGTAAGGAAAGCTTTAAGCCAAACTAATTCTTCCATAGACTTATATTCAGCTTCTGCTGAAGAACGTGCGACTGTCACCTATTTTAGTTTTCCATGAGACGGGAGAGCTGTCCTGTCCATCATAACAAAGAATCCAGTCAGTGATCGACGGGTTAGAGGATAGGAGGCCCAATTCAAGTCGTAGTATGCGTGTATCTTCAAGTCACAATTGGAATGCAAAAGAAGACCTTGGCCTGGGTTCCGTTCCACATATCTAAGTACCTCGTTATTACATCAAAATGAGCTTGCTTTGGCTGTAGCATGAATTGTGAGAGTATGTGAACAACATAACACAAGTCAGGCCTAGTGATGGTAAGGTAAATAAGCTTGCCAACTAGTTGTCTGTAACGCTCTGGGTTTGCAAATTCTGGTCCATCCGCCAAAGCCAGTCGGTGATTTTTCTCCATAGGAAATTGGGCAGGCTTGCTGCCACTCAGTTGATTCCTCAAGGATGTCCAGGGCATATTTACGCTGACACATCTAAATTCCATCCAAGTTACGGGCTATTTCAATGCCCAAGAAGTATTTTAAACTCCCAAGATCTTTAATCTTGAAACATTTATTCAGGTATTCTTTCACCGCGTTGCAGGCTTTTGCGTTATTTCCTGTTAGTACAATATTATCCACATGAATTAACAAAGCAAGGAAGATATCACCTCGGTTTAGAGTAAAAAGGGTGTAATCTGTACGAGATTGCTGAAAACCATATGCCTGCAAAGAAGATGTTAGCTTCGAAAACCAGTTCCTGGGTGATTGGCGTAACCCATATAAAAACTTCTTTAGGCGACACACTTTATTTGCAGAACCATTGCTGAAATCAGTGGAAACTTCATATAAACTTCCTCACTTAAATTACCATTAGAAAGCATTATGAACATCTAACTGGTGCAATTCCCAATTCTTTGCAATAGCTACTGCCAAGAGTGTTCAAACACTAACCATTTTTGCAACAAGTGCAAAGGTTTCACCATAATCCTCACTAGCCTCTTGATAGTTCTCTACGATCACCAACCTTGCTTTGTACCGTTCAATTGTACCATCATAATGGTACTTTATTTGGAACACCCATTTTCTTGGAAGAGCATGCTTCCCAGACGGTAGTTCGGTTATCATCCAAGTGTTGTTTTCCTCCAATGCATTGATTTTTGTTCTCATGGCTTCAATCCACAGTGTGTCTTTCATAGCCTCTCGAAAATTATTTGGCTCATATCTTGCATCAATTGCTGCCACAAATGCTCTGTGTTTTCCAGAAAAATTAGACATACTAAGATAGTCAGTGAGTGGGTACCTTATACTTGAGGAGATGTTGGTCTGGGTGATGTCAAGTGGAGTCATATGTTTTTCTATCAAATTGCACTCATAGTCTGTAAATAGACTAGAGCTCTTCGGGTTTGTTACTCTATGACCTGTGGTTCACTCCCATCAGTAGGATTGTTTGCAGGAATGTTACTAGGAATCACTGCCTGCGAAGGAGTACTCCCCCTGTCCATTGCAGGTATATTTGTTTGCACACCTGCTGGTGATTGATGAGTCTCCAATTTATTATGTATTAAGTGTTAATATGAGCATAAAATTGATTTAAAATTTATTAAAAGTTATGAGAATTATAATTAAAGTGTTATTTTATTCTCAGAAATATTCTAATAAAAATTCTTATATTTTGCAGTAATTTTCAGATCAATAAAAAGATATATTGGAGAGCTCAAGTGGATTTGTTTTGAATTTCTGAATCATATAATTGATTGAAGATCTTATTGAAGATTCTCTTGAATATTTTTTTAGGAAATTTTTTCCTTTAAATATAAAGGAGAAGATTTTAAAGATTTGATCAAAGATATGATTGGAGATTATAGTAAAGATTGGTTTAAGATTTATTACAAGATCACACAAGGAAATAAAAGACATGATTTCTTATATAAAAAGAGGGCTGGCACTTTCAAGAGAAGGGAGCTTTTGATCAATTGAGATTGGAGATTACTGAAGGGAGAAAGAGAAACATGTTTTCACGCTTTGGAGCATTGGAAGCAGGTGGAACTAAGAAAGGCGCTTGGAACTCTGAAGATTCAACAAGCTGTCGTCAATGGAGTTTGAGGATTCTTTTTTTTTTTTTCCATTGTTATTAATTTCAATATGCTAGGAAGATTTTTTATGTACTTAGGGGAAGATGAAACCCAATTGAATCTTTGTTCTATGAATTAAATTGTCTTCAAATTCTTCTCTTTCTATATTTGAATGAACTTATTTGTTTTTAATGCTTTCTATGAGTTTACTCCTTATAGATTGATTTAGGGGAATTGTAAGACAATAAAGATATTGGTGCAAGAATCCTGATTTGATAAATTCATCATAATCCTTGTGATCTAAGGATAGACATAGGGCAATTGTGCAATCTTTGAATTCTTGATTTTAATGCATGTTTTCTTGATGAACAACTGAGGAACTAGGATTCTTTCATGATCACATAGAATTAGGGTAACAAGAAATTGAGCCTTAATTAATTTAGAAAGAATTGATTGGCATTATATTAAGAGCAGATTCTTGACTATTTAATTCATAGCATAAAGAGAAAATTGGGGAAGTCGAAACCCTAACTACACGTATTCTTGATTCTCAATTCTCTTCATATCAATCCTCGTTGCCCAACTAAACCGCAATTAGTGAACTAGTGTTTGAAAATCAATCCTCGTGGGAACGATCGCATACTCCGGTACACTTTATTACTTAACGATCGATGCACTTGCTGAGTCACAACAGTGATTGTGCCTCCAATGTTGGTACATCGTCCTAATCCTCTTTGTCACGAAAAGTATCTTCCACTCCTTTAACTGTTGTTGGCAAAAAAAGAACCTACTTTTTCTCTAAGTACAACAGGAAATTTTGCCCCTGCAGCTTCAAACGAGAACACCTCTTCATGAAAATTCACATCTCTAGACACAAAGAATTCACGTGTGTCCAAGTCAAAGAGCCTTCCACTTTTATGCCCTACTGGAAACTCCACGAAGACACACCTTCGTGATCATGACACAAACTTGTCAAATGGTCATAATTTGCTATAGTACCATATAACATCTCATGACGAGTTTTTCCATCAAGGACTTTTGATGCAGTCCTATTGATCAGGTGAGCTGCTGTCAATACACTTTCTTCCCATAAATCATTTGGCATACACGCCTGAAACAACAAAGCCCGTGAGACATTAAGTATATGTTTATGTTTTCGTTCCACACGCCTGTTTTGTTCAGGTGTTTGAACGCATGATGTTTGGTGTAATATTCCCATTATCAGACATTATTACTTTTACTACTAAACCATATAATTTCATCAAACTATTAGACTTGAATTCC